GAGACGCAGCGCGGGGTAGGTACAAGCAGGCACCCCGGGGCTGGTCCTGGCCCAGCCATCCTCCGGGGAGGGAACTGCTGGGGCTGGGAGTGAGTGTGGGAGCGGGGCTGGGTGTGCACACACATCCCAAAGCTCCTGGCCCCGGGGCGGTGAGCCTGGTGTGCCAGGGTCCTTCCCATGCGCCCGCACGCTGCCAAGGGCCCCCACATCCTCTAGGGCAGCCGGAGTGGCCATGCACTGCTCCCTGCCCAGGGTCAGGATGCTGCCCTGGGAGCTGCGGACCATGGGGCACGCTCACCTTGAGGTTTGGGAGCAGGGCCCTGCCACCACCCCCTAACACTGCTGGTGACCCCATAGCAGCCTCCCAGACTGACGCCCAGACGCGTCCCTCGCGTGGCCCTCCCTGTTTAAGGGCTGGAACCAGGCAGGAGGGAGGAAAATGCCACCATAATTGCATCCCTCCTAATTATCCTCAGCAGGTGCTCGCTGAGTCACGGCCGCCCAGGTGCCGGCGTACCATGAGGCCGTGCCGCCCTGGGCGGGTCCGGCGTCGGGGAGCGGTGCGGGGTGGGTGCCCTCCTGGATTCATGAGGAATGGGCGCTCCTGTGCCCACACTGCCTGCCCTCTGCCCACCTTTGCTGCAGGCTTAGGGGGGGCCCTTCTCCCTATGGCTTGCCCCAAGGGGGCAAAACCCAGACCACCTCCTCCCCTCACCTTGATGCTCTGCTCCAGACCTTACTGGCAGCCATGGGAACCCCCTCCTTCTGCCTCCCTGACCCCCACACCAAGTTGTGTCCCACCCCACCCCACTCACTCTCTTCTCCCTCCCTCCATCCTTTACCTCCTGGACCTCCATCTCCCTCCCAAAATCTCTCCCCTCCCCACACTTACCCTCAGTCATCCTTCTCTGTTCCCACAGCCCCCCCTGGCTCTGCAGCCTCCCTTCCCAGCACCCCCTTGCCATGGGCCACCAGCCCCCTCGGGCTCACGTCCCCTTTAAGCCTGCCCGAAGCTGGAATGTGAGAGGAGCATTTCAGTGCCCTGTGAGGTCAGATAAAGACACTATATTTATCTAGCCGGTAACCTGAGCTGTGAATTTCTGTGGCGGGGGTTTTTTACACGCCCCCACCCCCCC